ACACAGACACACACACTCACACACACACACACACACACACACACTACACACACACACACACACACACACACACACACACTCTCTCTCTCACACACACACACAAACACACACATGAATGTTGAGCAGAGGTGCTTCTGTCAGCAAAATTAATCTTCATAGGTTCCTTGTCACAGTAAAAATGAACTATTAAAATAGAGAAAGTAGGGCTGTCAAAGTTAAATCATTTGATTAATAAAATGTGATTTTTTTTTTAATGCTTAAAAAATAATTCAAAAATGCATATTTAGCTCAAGCAAACTAAATGAAGTCTAGTTTTTTAAATTATTTTTTGTCATTGTGATGGTTTCAGCTACAATTTCTTTTCGGTTTACTCATATAAAAAGATTATGAATTAAGTTCTTTTTTTTAAATTAATGATAAACTTTCTTTTTTGTTTTGATATGCTCCAAAATCAAAAGAATAATTGCATATATAGCTTAAAGAAGCAAATTTTTTTTTTTGCATATTTGTAGTGGAACCCTTGATAAAGAAACCCGGACTAGATCCATTTATACTTCAAAAATGTCTTCCAATTTCTAAACTTCCTTTTATTGCAAAAATCCTAGAAAAGGTTGTGTTTTGTCAGCTCTCTTCTTTTTTTGCAGAGGTTGACATAATGGATAAGTTTCAGTCAGGGTTCAGAACTGGTCATAGTACTGAATCTGCCCTTATTAGGGTATTAAATTATATTTTATTGGACGTTGACAATGGAAATTGTGTCGGTCTTTGACACACTGGATCATACCATTTTGTTGGAGCATCTTGAGCGGTGTGTTGGGGTAAGTGGGGTGGCTTTACGTTGGATCCATTCTTACATGGAGGGTAGAACTTTCACGTCAGCTCTCTTCTTTTTTAGCAGAGGTTGACATAATGGATAATTTTCAGTCAGGGTTCAGAACTGGTCATAGTACTGAATCTGCCCTTATTAGGGTATTAAATTATATTTTATTGGACGTTGACAATGGAAATTGTGTCGGTCTTTGACACACTGGATCATACCATTTTGTTGGAGCGTCTTGAGCGGTGTGTTGGGGTAAGTGGGGTGGCTTTACGTTGGATCCATTCTTACCTGGAGGGTAGAACTTTCACTGCAAAGATTGGGAATAATTGTCCTTCTGCTGCTCCTGTAAGTTACGGGGTACCTCAGGGCTCTATTTTAGGGCCGTTTCTTTTTTCTCTATAAATGATTCCACTGGGCTCTATATTTAATAAATTTGGCTCTTCATATCATAGTTATGCTGATGACACGCAGTTAAATTATTTTTTTAATGTTAAATGATAAAAAGACACATTGAAAAAAGAAAAAAAGCACATTGTTTACTCCAAAACCATCCTTTTGTTTTCATCCTGTGTAAAAAGTCATGCTACTAACTTTTGATTCTGAGCTTAAATTCGATCGTCAAATAAACACTGTAGTAAAAAAATTGTTTATTTCAATTGAGGAGGATTGCGAAATTGAAGTCAGTTTTAGCAAAGGATGAATTTGAAAAAGTTATTCAGAAAATTTCCAGTAAATTTCGGAAACATTACATAAATTTTGGAAACTTTCCAGGATTTTTTTGGAATGTTCCAGGGATTTTTGGAAAGTTTCCGGAAACTTACCGGAAATTGTCCACCCCTTTGCAACCCTATATATATATACTCTATTTTAGGGCCGTTTCTTTTTTCTCTATAAATGATTCCACTGGGCTCTATATTTAATAAATTTGGCTCTTCATATCATAGTTATGCTGATGACACGCAGTTAAATTATTTTTTTAATGTTAAATGATAAAAAGACACATTGAAAAAAGAAAAAAAGCACATTGTTTACTCCAAAACCATCCTTTTGTTTTCATCCTGTGTAAAAAGTCATGCTACTAACTTTTGATTCTGAGCTTAAATTCGATCGTCAAATAAACACTGTAGTAAAAAAATTGTTTATTTCAATTGAGGAGGATTGCGAAATTGAAGTCAGTTTTAGCAAAGGATGAATTTGAAAAAGTTATTCAGAAAATTTCCAGTAAAGGACGGAAACATTACATAAATTTTGGAAACTTTCCAGGATTTTTTTGGAATGTTCCAGGGATTTTTGGAAAGTTTCCGGAAACTTACCGGAAATTGTCCACCCCTTTGCAACCCTATATATATATATGTGTGTGTGTGTGTGTTTTACATTTTAACCTGTTTCTTGTAGCTGTTAAATTACAAACAAACAAAAAAAATTTTGTCATAAAAGTATATTAATTTAAAAAAATCAATTAAATCAATTAATTATATTTCCTCACATTTTTATTATTGTAGTAGTAGTCAAAAAAATTTGACTAAAATGATCAAAATTCTCAAAAAGTAAGATAAAATATATTTTAAATTGATATAAAATTGTAGTACTGTCTTTAATTTTTGCTGATTCAAAAAAAAAAAAGCATTGTACTGATATTTTTCTGTAATACTGTACAAAAGTACTTTTCTATAAAACCCTTCAATGTCTGAATTATATATTATAAGTTAAATGTGCTTAATTGTCATGAAAGGCTGGTGTAAATCTTAATGGTTTTCAGAATGTATTATTTATGCAACTGTATTTGAAACTGTTTGATGTAAAAGCACGAGTCTTATAGTTCATAGGTTACTATGTTTCTTCAGCTGAGGGTCGCTGGAGTAAAGGTCTGATGTAAAGCTTGAAACTGCGTCAGATTGTGTAAATCAGTGAAATAGACTCTAAAGACACAACATTTGGCTCGTCACCTCGGCATTATTACGATTTGTTCACTTCTTGCTCCTCCATGCCTGTTTCTTCTGTTTCTTCTTCTCCTGCAAGCTGTTTCCATCCGCTTGCAGGATCTTTTTATTATTTTATTGTTGAAACTCTGTGCATGTTTCCCAGGAAGTGACAATTCACATTATTCACAAGTGTTTTATGTCATATATACCAAGTTTAATTTGCAAAATTTGAATGGAAACATAGCAGTTGGCATGCTTTAACAATTTGACAATATTTTTTTATTCAATAAAATTATTTTGTTCAATTTTGTTCTTTTGAACACATGGGACGGAAACAGTGCTTTATTTGTCAATGTTTCATGCAATATTCCAATTTTTCACATGAGTTTCACACCATTAGCTACCAATCAAAACTTTGGAGTAATTAAGATTCGTTAATGTTTCTGAAAGAAGTCTCTTCTGCTCACCGAGGCTGCATTTATTTGATCAAAAATAGAGTAAAAATAGCGAAATATTATTATAATGTAAAACAGCTGTTTTCTGTGTGAATATCTGTTAAAATGTAATTTATTTCTGTGATGCGCAGCTGTATTTTCAGCATCATTACTCCAGTCTTCAGTGTCACATGATCTTCAGAAATCATAATAATATGCTGATTATTAGAAACATTTTTGATTATTATCAATGTTGAAAACAGTTGTGCTGCACAATATTTTTGTGGAAACTGATGCATTTTATTTTTCAGGATTCACAGATGAATAGAAAGTTCAAAAGAACAGCATTTATTTGAAATAGAACTCTACTGTAACATTATGAACTCTTCTGTGACTGTACTCAGTGTTTTGACCTCTGACCTCTGCAGGGCTGGTGTCGAGCGAGAAGGCGAGTGCGAGTTACCTGTTGAGTCGTCCAGGTGGAGGTCAAGCGGCTGTGATCGCCGTGGGCGGAGCTCCAGAATCACTGGACGCTCGACCGGGAGCCTTAACCCTTCAGCTGCTGCAGCGCAAGGGCTTCATTAAACTCGCCCTCAAACATGGGTGAGAGAGTGAGAGAGAGAGAGAGAGAGTGTGTGTGTGTGTGTGTGTGTGTTTCAGGGTCGGAAATTAACGGGGGCTGGTGGCAAAAATGGCACCAAAATGAACAAAAATGCCCCACAAATTCAAGATAAACAGGCAAAAATTGCTCCTGCACAAATAAACAATCGATTACAGCTGAAAATGAATGAAAAGTGTCTGTTCGCGGAACTACATTTTGATTCGCTCACTCTGCATCAGATTGCTTTTTACAGGGGTTTTTTTTTTTTTTGCAGCGTTGAGCCTTATAACCAATCACACACACACACGTCATGGACCGACATGTTTGTCTGTGAAGCCAGAGCCACAAAACGCAAAAAAAACTATTCTATTATATATTATATAGAGCGTGGCTGGTTCCTGTCTTCTCGTTTGGGGAGAACGAGCTCTTCGATCAGATGCAGAATCCCGCAGGCTCCGCCCTCCGCCGAGTGCAGGACCGCCTCCAGAGGATGATGGGCGTGGCTTTGCCTCTCTTTCACGCCAGAGGAGTTTTCCAGTACAGCTTCGGTCTGCTGCCCTACAGGAAACACATTCACACCGTGGGTACGAGACTCTCTAATGCATTCTCTGCATTCAGTTTAGCAGCCTTCTAAAATTATATATATATATTTTTTAAAGAAATTAATACTTTTATTCATCAAGGATGCATTAAATTGATCAAAAGTGACAGTAAAGACGTTTATAAAAAATTATATTTCAAATAAATGCTGTTCTTTTGAACTTTCTGTTCATCTGTGAATCCTGAAAAATAAAATGTATCACAGTTTCCACAAAAATATTGTGCAGCACAACTGTTTTCAACATTGATAATAATCAGAAATGTTTGTTGAGCAGCAAATCAGCATATTAGAATGATTTCTGAAGATCATGTGACACTGAAGACTGGAGTAATGATGCTGAAAATACAGCTGCGCATCACAGAAATACATTACAGTTTAACAGAGATTCACACAGAAAACAGCTGTTTTAGATTAGAATAATATTTCACTATTTTTACTGTATTTTTGATCAAATGCAGCCTTGCTGAGAATCTTTCAGAAACAGGACTGTTTTGTAGTTTTAAATGTATTGTAGACGTGATGTTCATTTCTTTAGGACCAAGAACATGTTGGTGTTATTTTATGTTCTGTTTTTATTAATAATTTGAATCAGTTTTTTATTTTTTCTGTTTTAATTTTAGTTGAAGTTTTACTAAATTAGTAATTTTAGTAATTGTTTTTTATATACGCTTATATAGTTTTTACTAATTATTATTTTAGTTTTAGTTATCGTAGTACATTAGGTTAAATTTTTGTCTTGGCAAAAGCTGAAATATAAAATTACAAATATAAAAAATACTATATATTTATTTTATTTTTCATTTGTATTTCAAGTAACAAAAGTATGTTTTTGTTTATGGTTTTCAGTCCAATAACAGCAGTGTTGTACCTGTGTGTCTGTAGTGGGGCGTCCCATTGCTGTCGCTCAGAATCCGTGTCCCAGTAAAGACGACATCGACGCTCTTCACACGCTCTACATGGAGGTGAATTACACACACTTTATAACCAGTCTTATTGTGTGTCGCTTTGTTTCCACACTCGACTCAGTGTTGTTCTGTGTTGCAGGCTCTGACGCAGGTGTTTGAAGAGAATAAAAAGAACTACGGCATCCCAGAGGACAAGCATCTCACCTTCATCTGAACTCTGAGCTGTGTGTGTTTACAGTGATAAACTATCAATGCGGAGGAACTCGAGTTACACTACTACAGAGAAAATAATAACGCTAACAATCTGTCACTGATTCAGATCGCTACTGTCATTTTGGCAGATTGTGTGTGAGTGTGTGTGTGTGTGTGTGTGAGAGTGAG